AATGGTGGGGCTGCAGCGATTTGCAGAGGGAAAAGTTTTGAAAGGTTAGCTTTAGGAAAAGCGAGGCTGTTATGACACAAGAAATTGCTTTATTGATGGTCTGCTCTGCTGCCTGTGCATTTGGCCATTTGTTACCCGGCCCATATCTATATCTCAGGCTGACACTGATGAGAACTTTTCTGTTGCCCTCTCCAGATTACCGAGTTGTAATGACACATACAGGCAGGCTGGGTAAAAGCTGACGATCACCAGCGTTTTTTTTTTGAGGAACAGAGGGTGGATATTGAGGCTTGGTGCCCGGAGGGCTCGGATGAAGCTGCTCATAATAGAGAAAAAGGGCTACATCGCTCCCATGACTGTTTCCATCCAAACCTTACAGACGTCATCATCTCCGCTGAGAAACAATAAAGGAAGAGAAGGAGTCATAAAATGTGGATAAAATGAGAGCAGGAGAGATAAAAAGGAGAATACACCTTCTATGAGCCCATGTCTACTCATAAGTTAGATGCTAACATTGTTGCTTAAAGTGACCATACACTAAGGGACAATTACACACTCATGTGACTAATGTAAATTTGTCAGAAGAACTGTCATGCCGCTCCTTAGATACATGTTGTTTCCTGTTTACACAGGAAGTAACAAGATTACCTCTCGTCAAGTGGCCGCTGAAGTGATCCAACCTGAATGACATTGAGCTCCTTCGACTGGCTGGTGCAAGGGGCCGAGTAAAAGCTAATCAGGCCGTAATTCAAGATTTGCCTGGCCACTTACGATCAATACTCGCACAATCCCAATTAAAGCTTGCTGGGTCAGTGGAGGGCCACCAATTCCTTTACAAGTTAAATGCAATACTTAAATCTAAAGCAATCTCAGTGTGGCCTTCAACGGTTTAATGGCTCGTGCCAACAGGAGAGTGTCCAGTTAAAAGTGCAAGAAGTACACAGGGTCCTGCAGTGATAAATGCCCCCCCCCCCCCAAATAATACTTACATACTTTTAAGTTTAATTTTAAAATATTTGTACCAGTAATGGAGTATTTGTGCAGTGTAATTTGTAAAAGATCTGAATACTTCCCCCAGCACTACATTAGTCTGACAGCTATACTATTACTTTTAAGATGAAAATTTTACATTAAAAAATGATCAGTTTATAAAACAAGATGTATTTCTGTAGATAAAGCTACAAAACTGTTTCAAATGTTGTTAAACTAGATCCACTCAACTACAACACTATAATGCTACTTTCACATTGATGCATCGGAAATAATAATCCGATGAGTACGAGTAGGCCTACTTTTAGTTTTGAGACTTAAAGTACATTCGTCAATAATACTTACTTTTACTTGTAATGGAGTACTTATTCTACTTAAATAACAGATCTGAATACTTCCTCCACGACTACTCAGAACCCACAGTTCCACCGTCACCACCTCTACACCACCTATTTTCCCCATTTTCCTTCCAGTTTTCTCCCTCTGAGCTTTTGCCGTTGCATCCACGTCTTTTATCACAATTTTGACCCACAGAAAGGAATTCTCACAAGATATCAAAACAAAAATCTATATTTAATATGGGAGCAATTACAAAGCGAAGTTGGCTGCACAGGGCCATTGTCACCAGAGCGCATGTTTTTCATCAAATAGGTCATTAGACGATGATGGATGTAAACCTATAAAGTATCTAAACTGGACCTTTTAACAAACCACGAGCAACACTATCATTTCTCTAATAGAACCTGCTGACCGTGTCATTCCCTCCTGCCATTTGTCATTTTTCCTTGTGAAATAATCAATATCTGGGCGCTTTGAAATAAATAATATAAAAGTCATAGTAACCTACCCGAGGAGCAACAAAAATAGACTTATGGAGCATTCAGAAGGCCTATGTGGCCTCTGGGCAATGTCTACTGCATGTTTCTAATTAATGCATAATATGAACTGTATTTTAGTACAGGATCTTAGTTTGTACTCTTTATTTTCAGGTTTGCATATGTTGTGTTCTTTTCATCCCCAGTTATGGACCGCTATTATAGTGGTAAAGCACTGTGGTAAATTTAAATTTGCGCCGTTACAGGGCCCTTAAACAATCTCTATTGGACTATTCAAAAGCACAACCTCGGAATCAGGCCAATGTGATGACAGCCTACGAGAGTCACTTTTATCCAAGGGTTAAAATAATAATACAGCAAAAAGTAGTGATACCTGCACACTGAAGAGCTCCTAAATTATATATTTATTCATTTCATGCACCATTTTGGTCACACAGACCTTCATCAGGCATCAGCTTCTCTGTGTTTCATTTCTGTACATTCTCCCCCTGAGCCCACTGCCTTTCCTTTTGAAATAATTCAACTTAAATTTTATTTTTTTTCCAATAATCTTGATCAAGATTTTGACAACAAGAAAACGTATGTCAAAGATTGGTACACGGTGGAAGATGTGATGTCGGTTAATCACAAGCCTTGGTGCTGCTTTACTGACAAATATTGAGCTCTGTTTGTTTGGGATTAGTACTGTGCAGAGGGTGTCAATGATTTCAATACTGTGTGTAAGTAGATAACATCATGTGACTATCGTTTTTTACAAGAATGTCTCCTCTGATATGGCAGCTATATATCATGACATACAAATGTCTATAATGTTTAACTTTAAACACCTTAAAGACAATAATAACGTTAAATGTCTGGGGTCAAATAGTGGCCACTTGTGGAAAAAGTGTCAGATATGTAAGACTCAGGACTTGAAAATGAGGACCTCGAGGATCATTCATCTGCGGATCTTGCTGTTGTTGGGGAAAATACTAATTTTTATAGTCATGTTGACTTTCTAAATTTAGTTCAGGAAGTCCAGCTCTTATAAATGGATATTTTTTTAAAGACTGTTGCTCCAGTGCTTGCTTTCTAGAATGCCTAGTTTCTTCTCTGTGTTGTGAATCATATAAACATATAAATACTACAAATGATGTCCCAGTGTAAGTACAGCTTTGGTGGACACAATGACAATATCAAAAGTGTCTTCAGGGATACAAATACTACTGCTGCAATAAAATAATATAAAATAAATTGATTCAGACCTTTCTAAAGAGCAGTTCATTATCAAATACTGACTGAGGCATGTTGTAATAATGTGAATTCTTTGGATTTTGTACTAATGAAAACACCCATTTGGCAGCTCAGTCTGAGAGCGCCATCAAATACCTGTGATGATGAGGAAAGGCGGTAATTACATCACAGTAACAGGATATCTCCACTTGAGCAGCTCACTAAATGAATAACACGTGTTAATTACACGGACATGCCGGTGCTTACTCTACAGATGATGGGGAGAAAATGCATTGTGGCACCCAATGCAACCTTTACCTTTTCACTGACACCCTCTATTATGGCTGCATATCACATAATGAATGTCTTCAGGGAACAGATGATGATGACGATGATGATGATTCATAACTGAAATGAGTACATCTCACACACGTGACTGTTCTATAGGACAAATGTGCTGTACTTAAAGGATGACAGTATTGTCACTATCTGTCAGGTCTCACACAAACTTGTCTTTTGTCACTTTGGAGGACAATGCATTGACTTGCATTATTTTCTAGTCGTATTACATGCCTACCTGCAACGCTAACCAAAACCATAGTCTTTACCCTAACATGTAGTGCTTTGACTTGTGAGGACCTGTATTTTTCCCCCACATTGGAGGCGAGTCCCAATAATGTGACAGTGTGATGAGTATTTGTGTCCCCACAACATGATGAATACAAGCACCCAACACACACCCTCCACACACTTGCATTTCCTCCTTTAGACCCACAGAGGACGCTGTCTCCCCGTCCTTCAGCAACACCAGCTTCCAACCAACGGACTGCTTTTTTAACAAGTCAATTAATATCAATGAGTGAATATACATAGCACACTTACAAAGAGTGCAATCTGAGGGATAAATTAACCAAATCGATTAGGGAGGAATAAATGACTGTGCGACCCACAGACATTGTGGAAGTGGCCCTCGCTGAAAATCAATGAATTAGAAATATGAATCTAATCGCCCATTGGTGACACGTGGAGTAGCTGCAGCCTGATCTCAGGCCTTTTTCATATTGTGTCTGAGAGGTGTAAAAAAAAAAAAAAAAGATTATTTAACGATTTAAATGCTGACATTTTGACTATACATAAAATAGTATCTTTAATGTTTTGGTAAGTTATGATAAAAAGTCTACACAAGAAAATAAATGTTTTATTGATTTTATTGAAGATTATTAGGTAACTATAGCTATACTGTTATTTCATTTTACATGCAGTGCAGGATAGCTGTTAGAAAGCTTACTTGTTAATTTGCTTTTTAGTCAATGTAACCTTGTTTGAAAGGACTAAAGCATAGTCATTAGATATTTAATGTAAGCTTTTAAGCATATGCATACGAGTTAAATGCTATTATTATTATTGTATTCATCTAAATTACGGTTACTTACGTTTTGGTGATCATTTTAGAAATATATTAACAAATAGTCGAATTTAAAAAACATCATCAGACACCTGCAGCCTGAGTGAAAGTGGTTCACAACTGTATCAATAATAAACACTGGATTATAAGTAACCTCGTTCAGTCGATCTGTGTCTGACTGTTAGTGGTGTGATGAGGCGCTTATTCCAAACCCTCATTTTTGGCGCTAACAGCCCTGTGTTCATTTGCTGCCTAATTGGACTGTATGAGACCAATATCAGGCGAGCGCTCACTGCCTGCAGCCATGAGCGCACACAGAGGGGAGGACGGTCTCTCTCTCTCTCTCTCTCTCTCTCTCTCTCTCTCTCTCTCTCTCT